TCTGGTTTTACTTCACTAATAATTTTATCAATCTTAATTATTTTGTTATCACCTAGAATAAAAAAGAGAAGGAAGTTTCGCATTGCGTAAAATACTGGACATACGTTTCATAAGATGATCCAAGTTCTTGTCATGATATCCCTTGAGATACTTACAGACTAACTGGACTCCACTGCTGCTAACATCGTAAAGTGATGGAGGTTGTGTTTTCTTGCCAAGGAGAGCAAAAACAGGAAAAATCTCATCAAATTTTTTTAATGATCTTTTGAGCGATTCCTCATCCACTGAAGTCACAGAATCATTACGAGAATAGGTGCTTAATGATTTATTAGAAAAATCATTAGAAGCTTCAATGGATACTCTGCGATCCATAACTTCTTGTATAAGAGGAATATCCCAGAATGGTGCCTATTATACATAGTGTGTGCCAAAGGAATGAGTGAAACTTGATTTTAAAAGAGAAAATTAAAAAGAAAATATTTTATAGTTACGTGTAAACAATTATACATAAAGGAATACATTACTTCAACATAAACTGATATTGATGTCCCTTCAGGAAGGACTAGTGATAAACATTCGGGTGAAGTGCAGGCTGAACCATCTCTGGACATGTACTCCATGACTTCAACATAATGAAGAATAAAATAGTCAAAAAAGAACCAATTAATCTCATCCACTAGCTCATCAAACAGTGCTTGATAATCTTTGCTCTTAAGAATAATATTAAATAATTAAATTGATAATAAAAATTTGGAATTACCTGTGGCCAAACCAAATTAATATTCAAGTAAATTAACACATCAAATGTGTTCAAGGAGTCATTTCTAAATCTTCTAACAAATCGCATCTTGTTAAATGTCTCGTTAATGCTCAATATCTTCACATAACTAGCAAAATTTGTTCCAGTAGAGTGGTTTTCTCTATGTTTTTTAATGCAGTCCCTGATGTAATGACTCTTCCCACTACCTGTTAATATAATAAAGCATCAACAATATAAAATTGATTTCATGCATAAATTCAACATCATGAAGTAGTGAACTGTCCTTACGTAACATACCATGTTGTCCGTAAACAACTTCAAAGTTTTTAAAGATTTTTCCAATGTTATCACTTTGTACTTGATCAATCATTGAATCAAAATTGGGAAGATTACCCTAAAAAGAACAAAAGATAAAAAGTTTGTTCAGTTTTAATAATTTTAATTTTTGGCATCTTACAATAATTGCAATGTTTGATTGTGATATCCATGGTATATGTTGAAAAAGAGAAGAGGAATACTCCACTAAATAAACAGAGAGTCTTCTGTTGTGATGCTCATTTGTAACTGTAGTTTTGAGACTTGAACAATTTTCCAAAAATATCTATACCAAAAATGATATTTAACAAGC